CTCCTGAATCTCTGCTGGGCGTGTCTCTACAGAGAGCGTTTTATATGAGCACAGTACTGTGACGTCTCACAGTACTGAGCACAGTACTGTGACGTCTCACAGTACTTTGCTCAGTACTGTGACGTCTCACAGTACTGTGCTCAGTACTGTGAGACGTTACACAGTACATTTCGAACAAATAACGAAATTCAAATGTAGTAGCCATAGTTGAACCCAAAGGGAGCAGCACAAACATGTTTTTAGACCCAGTATTGTAGATTTAAACAATTTTAGACCAAAATGTTGAATTTTAGTCATAAATAAAAAGGTGGGCACACCCTTGGGGCACATTTTAGATAAAAGTTGATTTTGGGGTAAGTTACTCTTTAAGACCTAGCTATTTAAAAAAGCTTTTGATGTTTAAATTTTAGTATTTTATATTTATTTACCTTTTTTATTGTGGTTGTTATTAACTTGCACTGATTTATTGTAACCTGTTTTTATTGTTTTTATTTCTTGTGAAGCACTTTGGTCAATGCAAGGCATTGTGGGAAGGTGCTACACAATTTTTTTTAAAATACAAATATTGATGGTTGGGCTGCAGCTAACGATTATGTTAGTAGTCGATTAATCTATCGATTATTCTGACGATTTATCGAGTAATAGGATATAAAAAAATTGTCATGTTCTGCAGTAATTATTTAAGCTTATTTTATGAGAAATACAATTATGTTTCATTTAAGTATCATTAAGTATCATTTAAACTAAGATAAAAACATATCAACAAATACGTGTTTCAGCTTAAGCTGTCAATCTGTTGTGTTTTTATTTTTATCTGACAAACTTACAGTAAGTCTTGTTTTTAATCACACAACTTACACACTGTTTAATAAAACCCTGCCAGGTCACCATGATTAGTCAGCACAAATAACGTTAGCATAAATATACCTCCTCCTTGTTCATCTGTAACCTGACAGATTAGCACAGATTTAGGTAACCAAAGGTAACGTGAACGATACCTGTTAACTCCGGACGTGTTCGGAACATGCAGCAGTGTTTTTGTTCCGGTGCAGAAACGGATGTGAAGCGTACTGCACGTTGTCGTCTTTTCTGTTTAGTTTTAAATGTTCCCATACTTTTTATAATTTGTTGGTTTTTTTGGGGCGTTTCGCTTCGGCACTCTTCATCTTCTTCTAAAGCTAAATATAGCGCTTAGCAAGCATACACGCGTGACACGTCGGCAGTAACTGTTAGCAGAAGCGCTAACATCGTAGCATTGTGTGTAACACAAATAACATTACGGGCGGACGAAAGTGCTCTGATTATAACGTATTTTTTTAAGCTTCGAGGCAGATAAATTTGCCTCGAGGATTTTTTGTAATCGAATTACTCGAGTTACTCCAGGAATCGTTTCAGCCCTAAACTAATAAATTGAACCGTCATTACCACCTGTTTGTTTATCCTGGTTCTATACTTTGATGCTGTCAATCTCCTGGTTTCTTCCTGCTTCAGCTCCAGGAGGCGAACGCTCGTCTTGAGGCCGAGCTGGCTGAGATGGAGCTGGCCCCCGTCCAGAGGAAGATCGAGGCTCGTTCCTCAGACGACTCCTTCACCGGCCTCGTACGAACGCTCTACTTTGCTGACACTTTCCTCTCTGACAGTGAGTTTTTCTGAAACTGATAATTGCAAACGAAGAACAGATTTTTTGTCCACAGCTCTTGATTTTCTTCTAGGTTCACATAACACTCCCTCTCTCTGGGCGGGGACTAATGGTGGTGCTGTGTATGCGTACATGCTCCGCCTTCCTACTGTAGAGCACAGAGCAGATGAACCTGTCACTGCACAACCAGGTGAGACCCAAACTTTGTGAACTCACCGTTAAGGCTGGGCGATATGGCCCCCCCCCCCAAAAAATCTGATTTTTTCATCCCAAATTCGATTTTGATCGATTTGAGTAACCCTTGGCTGCAGACCGCGGCATGGGGCGGGGTCAGATAACAGGCGGGGTCGGACGTCTGATTCCGCCCTCAACTCTAAAATTAACCAACCCCAGATGCTAAATACCAAAATTAACCACGCCCAGTTTTTTAAGCCTCCTGTTAAACTTCCCTACAAGCCATGACCACACCCATTGGACGTCCGACCCCGTCTAGTATCCTAATCCGCAGTCTGCAGCCGGGGGTACTTGATCGATTTTGCTTCCCACTTAATGGAGTGCCTCTGTTTCATGTGTCAAAACAAATTTGTTGTACTCCTGCTTTTTGTTGCAAGAGTCTGTAAATAGATTTTGCAGTGAGGTGTTTGTTGCTCCAAGTCTGAGGTTGCAAAACCTAACCAGTTCCAGAAAACTGAAGAAAAAGTAACCGTGTTTTCATCAAGGCTTTTTGATGCACACTTAGAAGTGTCGCATTAAAAATGCGAAAAAAAGTCAGATGGAAACAGCAAAATTCGAAGAAAAAAAAACCTCAATTCGCTAAAAAGTTTTTACGCTCGCTTGAGGTGGTTTTTGGGTTTTTCGAAAAACACTTAATGTGCAAAAGGAGAGATGGAAACACTTTTGCTGAATAAGTTGTGACGTAGCGAACATTTACCTCACGTAGCTGATCGGCTGTTCCCCGGTACCGGTACCAGTTTTGGGTCGGCTGCAGCTGCGACTGGCAGCAGAACCCTCCTCCCACTGTTTGTGTTTTCTCAGTAATCCTGTAACGTGAAGAAAATTGCATTTCTTTCTCTACGTCTCCAGACAGCAGTAACATCACCAAAACTAGTTGATAACAGAATAATTACAACTTTCCTGATAGTAGCAACACGTTCCTGATAACTTCTCTCCATTATCCTGAGATGTGTGGACCCTGCCAGTTTAGCGACGGTTACTTCCTGTTTACTACGCACATGCGTATGGTGTAATTGATTCGCTTCAAGCCAGTTGATGGAAACTCCGTCTGATTCGCATTTCTTAATTTTTCCTTTTTTGAAATAATTAAAATTCGCTCAAAATTCGAATTAAAATTGGATGTAAACACTGTTAGTGACTTTTTTAGGAGGTAGATCCTCTTTGCTAGCTGCCATATTGTCACGTCATGTACCAAGCGTCTTGAGGGACAGGTGGGCTGACCTCTGAACTACAGAAGCCCCAGAGTGCACTGGTGAGAAAAAATCTTGATTTTCCAAAAATTAAATCTTTATAAATGGAAAATTCGAATTAATCGATTAAATCGATTTATCGCCCAGCCCTACTATTACTTGTTCTCTCACTTTTGGCATTTTCTACTAACGTTTAAATTTTTACCTCCAGCCAAAGAGATCCAGCTGATGCACCGTGCCCCTGTTGTTGGTGTAGTTGTGCTGGACGGCCACGGGGCTCCCCTCCCCGAGCCTCTGGAGGTGGCACATGACCTGGCTCGATCCCCTGACATGCATGGCTCACACAACCTGGTGGTCATATCAGAAGAGCAGTTTAAGGTCAGTTTAAAGAATCACACTGAGATTACTTCAGCCTCAGTCAGGTAATGAGAAACGCAGGCCCAGTTTCAAAAATGTCATGGTGTCGATTGCTTTGGTATTTTAAAGCAATGTTTTATTTTCTATAGTCCAGACAAATATGAAATGTTGAAAGTGAGGCATTTTACTTGCTTTGATAATTTGATGGTAACAGCAACTCTTGTAAAAGTTGGAACAGGACCATATAATCATTTTGCATATCTGGTAGCAGCAGTTTCAGTAGGCCAAAGGTGCTGCAAAGAGAGGACATCTTCATTAAGCCGATGCATTCAGATCAGGGGTGGTAATTAAAAATTTTCCCCACCAGCCACAGTGGCTGGTAGAAAAAGATTTGTACCGGCCACTCAAACTTTTTACCCGCCACTTTTTTGTTTGTTTGTTTGTTTCTGTAACACTTTAGACAATTCATGGTCCTTGGTGGCCTAATTAAATTGTTTGTGCTAATTTTTCCCCCAAGTTTGGCGAGAGGTGGATATGGAGGGGCGCAAAAGTAGCTCTCGACTTGAGTTGGCCTTATTTAAAGGGATCCCCGATTAGTTGTAACATTAGACTTTATTTAATAAACGTTTGTTTAACTGTAAAATAAAGACTGTAAAAATACTGTAGACTGTTTCATTTTTATCATTTTTAAACAAAGTTTAAAAATATATTACACGGACGGGGCCATTTTATTTCCACACAAAGCATTCTGGGTAAATGATGACGTGGATAGGTCCTCAGTGTGAGGCTGCTAGCGAGCTATATCCACCCTGAAGGTTAATCTTGGACAATATCTGATGATCGACTCTTTTAAATGAAACCAGAGAGCGTTGACAGAGAGGAGAAGGTAGAAATGACTCAGCCTGGAACTGAAAATATGGATGGAGGACAACAGGTTAGCTTGTTTGTCGCGCTAGCACCAAGCTAATACATATAAGGCAATATAGCATCAGTGCTAGCACAAAGGCTAACAGGCTAATCTGAGGTTGTTCTTCCATGAAGCAGCTCTGTTGTCCTCCATCCATATTTTCAGTTCCAGGCTGAGTCATTTCTACCTTCTCCTCTCTGTCAACGCTCTCTGGTTTCATTTAAAAGAGTCGATCGTCAGATATTGTCCAAGATTAACCTTCAGGGTGGATATAGCTCGCTAGCAGCCTCGCACCGAGGACCTATCCACGTCATCATTTACCCAGAAAGCTTTGTGTGTAAATAAAATGGCTCCGTCCGTGTTAAAATATATTTTAAAAAATGTACAAAACTGAACATCCTACAGTATTTATACATTCTTTATTTTACAGTTAAAATATATGTTCATTAAATAAAGTCTAATGTTACAACTAATCAGGGATCCCTTTAAATAAAAATGACTACATGCTATGAAATTCTTGGAGGGACGAGCCGCCTCGTTGGTGGCCGTGAGGCCAGGGGAAATGCTGCTCTCTCTCACTCACTTTCTTTTGTACAGTGTCCTGAGACATTTGTTGTGACTTGACACTATATAAATAAACTAAGCTGATTATATTTTGAAATAATTCAACTAAAATTTTCAAGATTTTATCCTTAATCTGAAATATTCTCTGCTAGCAGTCTGAACTGGACTCCAGACCTGACTTTGCCCGCTTGTGTTGTTGAAGTGTTGCTCTGTGTGCAGGTGTTCACGCTGCCCAAGGTGAGCTCAAAGATGAAGCTGAAGCTGACTGCTGTAGATGGGTCCAGGGTCCGGAGGGTGGGAGTAGCCTGGTTTGGCAGCAATCGCACAGAGGATTATGCCGAGAGCGCCCTAGTCTTCCTGACCAATCAGGGTGATGTGCATGTGGTGTCACTGCCACATGTGAAGATGCAGGTTCATTACCCGTGTATTCGACGAGAGGACGTGAGCGGCATCGCCTCGTGTGTCTTCACCAAGCATGGCCAAGGTAAACAGACTGCACTCTGTTTGTTCCCAGCTCTGACAGCTCTGACACTCCCTGCTGTCCTCCTTCAGGCTTCTACCTGATCTCTCCATCGGAGTTTGAACGCTTCTCCTTGTCCACTCGCTTCCTGGTTGAGCCTCGTTGTCTGGTGGAGGCACCGCTTCATTTAGGCTCATCTAACCAGCACCGAGCAGAACCTGATGGAGCTACATCTGCTCACAGGTACACCACCTATTAATGATACCTGCTATAGAAATTCATAGGAAGCCATGTAGTGAGGCATCCATTATCCACTTCTAAACATTTATTTTTATTGTAGTGCTGGGCACGCGTTAAAGCAGCTGATGCTTAATGGCAATTTTTTTAAACGTATGTTAATGCCTGATTTCCTAATGGTAGGCTGGGAGGAAGTAAACTTACCTGTAAGTTCTGCAGCAGTAAACTGTCTAACCACCTGAGCAGTTCGAGCCCGGAATATCACTTCAGTTTAAAACCAGCATAAACAAACAGAAGGCGGTTCTGCTGACCAGCTTGGGGGAGAAAAAGGAAAAAGACTGGTTTGCTTTCCCCTATTTAAAGTTTTTGAGAATGCATTGCCCCTATTTTATATAAAACAGTACCCAAAATGCTTTAAACATATTTGACTCAGTTAAATTTTGTGCAGAATGGGGAGAAAAAAGATGGTTTGTTACGGGCTCCCCCCAGCCATATTGATTTCATCCATTATAGCAAACTTCTCTGTATTTTTCGTTTTAAAAGAAAGTTAGAAACAAATTCTGAAACAAATAGCAATGTCAAAGAAAGTAAACATGGCGTCAAATCTGCGGAAATTTAAATACACTCACCGGCCACTTTATTAGGTACACCACGCTAGTAACGGGTTGGACCCCCTTTTACCTTCAGAACTGCCTCAATTCTTCGTGGCATAGATTCAACAAGGTGCTGGAAGCATTCCTCAGAGATTTTGGTCCATATTGACATGATGGCATCACACAG